AATTATATACCAAAGGTATTTCTCAAAAGCTTATATCTCTTTTAATCATATGATACTGTAAAGCTTTAATATTTAAATATAAAAAAAGTTAAAACATTTTCTTTATGTTGTGATTTATTGCTACTGCTTGTGTCTCTTGGCATCTCCTTCCATGTCTTTAGGAAATGAACTACCACCCAATTCATTTCCTCTTCCTTAGACTGCCTCACTTGAACCCATAGTCATATTGCACAGATTCCATGGGCGCATGGACCCAGATCCCTCACAAACACTGAAGGGCTCTAGGAGAAGGCAATCTTGTGATGCAGTATTGGTATTCAATGCACATGATTTCCCAAGTCCTGCAGACACACCGGTTCATTTGCACATTATTCCTCCAAATCTGGTGAATAAACACCATTAAAGTCTCTTACTGTAGCTCACAGCCTTAAGAACTGACTCAGTGTCTCTGTTTCACATACTTTACCCACTATCCCATTGTGTCTTGATTCACTGTGAGCTTTCCCAATAAAATATGCATGCTTACATGCATATCCTGATGCGGCTGGACAACTACTTAGCCCTGTCCTTTCAATTTATCATGGCAATCAAGCCAGGACTTGTGAATTGCCAAGCAGGTGCAATGTCAATGAGCCAAAGGAGGGCTACAATTTTTTTTTCGACTGGTATTCCTTTTAGAGCAATTTGTGTTTCACACCCTTTTTTGTCCCCTTCCCCTTTTAGAAGAAATTGCTGTATTTRGGAAAACTAATCAAGCAGGCTAAACAGAAAGGAAAACTGAAATCAATCTGGAAGACATTTTTAAAGGACTTCATTTTCTAGAAACAGAGATTTCATTGCTTTTATGGGCTACGTGGTATTTTAATGCATTAATTCTGTTTTAGCCCTGCAACAGAGAGAAGGAAAGAGTGCAGAACTGTTGTTTAAATAGTGTTAGCAGTTCCACAGTGCAGTATTCAAAATATCTGCCTGCTATCACTTGTACAGTGCTTTAGGGGAATAAAGGGGGACTGGAAATGATATGGCCAGCAGGAGTCATGAGCAGCAGTAAAGGTGAGGAGGGTAGGATGTAGTTATGCAGATAAAATACATGAGCTCCATCCACGGCCTTGTGTAGAGGAAGAGATTTAAAAAAAAAAAAAAAAAAAAAAAAAAAAAGGAAGCTGGGAGGGATGTCTTCCTTCAGGCAAAGCTTTTTGCTGGGTGACTTCAAAGAAAAAATAGCTGCAGAAGTATTGATGTGCTTTTACCCTGAGGCAGCACGAGTCCATTAGGACTAAAAGAAAGGAAATAAGAGCCAGGTTAACTGTAGCCTTCCAGGGAGCAGAGGGGCTGGACTCCCGCAGGTAGCTCATGATGGAAGTGGCTTTACCTGCATCTGAGGGAGATCCTGAATCCTAATGGCAGGAGGAGAAATACAGAACGATGAAGTTTCTCCTGCTTTCACTAATGGACCTGAGATCTGAGATGGTGATTTAGACACAAGCTCATCTGGAAAGGAATACAAGGGAGCAAAAGAGACACCATATCGCTATTAGAAGAATGTATTTGATCTCAAAGTGCCATAATTGTGCCAAATACAAGTGTCACAATTTTGCACTGTAAATTGAAATTTCACAGAGTAGCATTGCAGGAGAGTAGGAAAAGGGATGTGGCACATTACAGCATTTTTTTTTTTTTTTTTTTTATGATACCATCCTGGTGGATAAATAAGTGTGAACATGGAGGCCTGTTAGCTGCCACTCAGTCTGAAGACATTTTTTTTACCCACATTTTGTCTAATCCTGCTTCTATGGGGCCAGATCCCAGGGAGCTTGCATTGGTTTACTCCAAAGTATTGAAGTCTCAAGAGCAGTTAGCAGCAGTGTCCATGAGATTTTTTCTGCAGTGGGAGTTACAAAGTCCCAGAGGGTAGTGGAAGGCTCTTTTTTTTTTTCTGATAGGCTATTCGAGAGGCTTAATTTATGTTAGGCAAGCCTTCTGCAGCCTTGGAAAGGTCTTTCTAAAAGCAATGTAACTGTATAGCTGTGCTGCTAGCTCATTGTTCATCCAATAGTTATCCTTGTAACATCATCTTTCTGATATCTGCTAAAATTATGAAAAATTCAGAAAATAWATTAAGAAAGACAATTTTTGAAACATAAAACCTATTTTGTGATTAGAAAAAAATGGTTACCCCTCATGATTTGATATTACTACCTTCAAGTGTTGGTTTGCTCCTCCCAGTCCAATTTGTTCAGCAGCTCTCCACACAAATATGTTGGCTCACACAGAAGATCTGTCACTTTTTTTTTTTCTTTTAAGTATCTGTTGGTTGATCCACAGAGACAGGGCTTCTTTTTATTCTGAATTCTTCAGCAGAAGCCACTTGCTTTGCTGTCCCATTTCAGCCAACAGATCAGAGGTGAACAAAAAGGAGGCAAGTGGCAAGTGACAGTCCCAATAAAGAACAGAAGTGGAAACAAGGAAACACCCTCCTACAGCTGCAGTGTTCAGGATTCCTAAAGGCAACGTGGAGCTTGTTCCTGCAAAAGTCCTCCTTGCAGTAGGCTCCACTGGTCCTTCTAGCACCAGACTATGAAACAATTTACCTAAGACTACGTTCCTACCTATTCCCTTTTCTTTAAAATGTTCTTCTCTGACATGTTTTTTCTTTCTGCATTCATGTAATTACTGCCCTCTGGAGGAAAAAGTAGAGAATAAGATAATGACTAGAAATTTAAAAGGAAATTTAAAAGGAAATTTAAGGGAATGGAACATCTCTCRTATGAAGAGAGGCTGAGTGAGCTGGGCCTGTTTTCTCTGGAGAAGAGACAGCTCAGAGGGGATATGATTAATATGTATAAGTTCAGGAAGGGAGAATGCAGGGAGGAAGGGGACA